TTAAAATTTTCCTCTTCGTACTCCATTCTGAGCTTTCTAGATTTTTCATGTCACAGTAATGTTGTCCCGTTACCGTAATTTTTGGCCATGTACGTTTAGGCTTGTCACTACAAAGGATATCGGTATGACTCTAATGGACCTTGCCAACATGAGCGTCGCAGACGCTCCCGTAGCACAGAATGATGACGATATGAGGACATCTAAAGAGGAAGAAGGACGTATGTTTATGGCGAGCTTTCAGGTCACGTCGGTAACTACCTTTTCTCGTTTTAGTGACAGGAGCTTCTCTTCTACGACATGTTCATTCCACCTGGCGATCATGTGACGATGCTGGCATTCCTCCACAGTTGTGCCTTTGTATGGATAAGAAAGTTCTTCAGTCGATCGATTACACAAAGTTCGTTTAGTTATTGGCAAATTTAAAGGCAACCCCATGATCATTTGCTGCCACAGATAGTGAATTAGGGGCTCGCATATAAAGGGTAATATGCTGAGCAACTCGATAGTGAAGAAAAAGCAGAAAAAACGTGCCAACTGTTTTCAATAGATCCAACTGCAGTGCCCAGTGAATTCCATCTCCAACCCTGCGCCCTCATCTGCACAGCTGATTCCCCAGTGAGAGCCCTATAACCGTATACGGGAAAAAAGGGAGGCCGCCCATAGGCGCTCTCTCCCACCACAAATTATGCTGCCCGGCGGCAACCGTCATTAAGTTCTCCGTCATCGCGGCCACCCTTACCCTTGACGATGCCATGTTTCCACACTTCTATACGCTCGCAGACCGTCTCTTGAAGAAGCACGAGCTTTCCGAAGTCCAACACCACTGTTCGCCTAGGAAGGGGGGGGGGTGAGCCTGGACACCTTACTAAGTTAAAGACAGCTCCCGCGATAAAAGTCTCATGGATAGCTGCTTTCCAATTATGAAACAGCAGCTGATAAGTAATCTCCCAAAGAAGAAAACAGGCAAGAAGCGTTCTCCAGAACAACATAAACAAAATCGCTCCCTCACAGTTACACCTCCCTGCGGTCTCTGTGCAGCCCCTAGCTCACAAATCTCTCTATCACATCTCGCAGTAGTTGATATCATCCAGTGCAAAAGAAAGAATACAAAAAGAAAACAACAAAAACGCAGAGGAAAAACTCTGGGAAGGAAAAAGGAATTTTATCAACACGGTGTCTGAATTTGTGATTACGGTAGCGCACCTTCTTTCGTGACCGTCGCGGTTTTGCCATCACGAAAAGTTGTCATGCCACCGTTGTTTTTTTACGCGTCTTCACCTCGCGCAAATGGCGGTTGAATTGAGATGTATATACCCTCAATGCATAAACCCTGCTAATGATAGGACATGAGCAGGAACTATCCAGGCGGCATTAGCCAATGCCCGCCGACCCCAACTAAGAACAGTGAGTGCCTCGTCGAAGGACATCTAACAAAGTAAACGGTCTGTTCGGACCCTGAGGTTGAGTCTAGAACTAGCGCAACTTTGAGCGGCTATAGCAGCTCCACGCTCACAATAGAGTCGCGAAAGGTGAACAGTCTTCTAGCTTGGAGGCTAGACTACTTGCACAGCAAAGGCGACCACGAGCCACTTTGATCGCGGGGGCTGTCTTTAAGGATCGCAGGACGTTTCCCATTATGGATACCTCGTTGCTGCTAACTCGGCGGTTAAGCTTGGCACTGTCATCATCTTATTAAAACAGCTTCGCTACTATTTGCACTCAGTTATGTTCGCATTTCATTGAGTTTTCAGCAAAAGTTCGCGTCTTGCGTGCGGCGCGTTTCCGAGCAGTTACTTGTTCCCGGCTTGACCGAGTGCTTGCAAGTCTCATCAAGGGAACAAATCGAAGAAACTAGCAATCAGCATCTTCCTGTCCATACCGTAAACAGCAGACCCCCCTGAGGCGAACAGCACCGAGATTCACTTACAAGCTCTTCTCTACGTGAAACAGCTCTGCTTGCACACTCTAACCGTTCCCTACTTTCTCCTTAACTTCATAGTTTCTCATTCTTTCAGATATCTCTTTTCTTTACTCCGATCGTTCTGCACAGGGAAATATTGCACAGAAACAGCAGGAGCAACCGTTGTCCTTTACACAGAAATTAGGCAAGCACAATTACCCTTTTCTGGGGTATCTAAGGCCGCATTTATCGCAGGACTGCAAGCGGACAACGCAGCTGCAAAAAATAATTAGTTGCGAGCGGACAATGTACCCCCCTGCTACAGTTGTGCGCCTGGATATGTCCGCAGTAGGCCTTGTATCGTGCGAGGTTTCGCAATTTTTCCCCTGCATCCTTCACTGCGCTATATACCTCTTTTTAGTTGCGGATTGCCACTCCGACACTACCCGCCACAACAGACTATTTGCCTGGACAGACTGAAAAGGAGGGACCCGTGAGTGAAGACTAGGCTCGTTTAGATCGCAACGCTAGACGGGCAACGAAATTGTAAATTGCAGCTTCCGTCCGCGCCCGCTTCGTCGCGCGCGGCAATGGGCGCGACGTTTTTGATTTGCACTACCCTTTCGATTGGAGCATCGGATTTCATGTAGACAAGGACATGGTAGACACTCAATTTTTGGTCATACATTGTCTATTCTCGACCAATACCATCCTAGAATCGTCGTCATTAGCGGGCGCGACGTCGCACGCGACGCCCACTGGCGCGGCGAATTACGATTCTCTTGCCACATACCTATCGCAACCCCATCCCCTACCCGCTCGACTGCAGTTTTTTTTGGAGAACAACTGGGGGAACTTCTTGAGAAGTTGCGGAAAATCTGTAGAAGTTGGGAAGACATAGGAAGTAGGATGGGATGGGAAAGGAAAGGAAGTTGTCTCAGCGGAGAAGATTCTATGGGCGGAAGGAGGAGGGGTGGGGGAAGGTCGTAATGACACCGTCAATCGTGTATCACAATGCTGCACCTCGCTTCAAATGCGTCTACAGTTCTGTATAAACACTATCATTGTTCAGGATTCCTAGACGGGGGGTGGGAATGGTATTTCAGCTATTTTCAGTTCTTAAGCCGGCAGCGTTGCAAATCTACCATTCCTGACTGTTAGACGGGAGTTCCTCTACCCTCTCCACGCAAAACCTTTTTTGAAGTTTTCATCAGTATGGTAGGCTTGTACTCTGCATGAAAAAAGTAGTTACGTTCTTCGTAGGGGCGTAGGATGAACTACTAGGGATAAGGTGATGAAAAATCAAAAATAAGATTTATTGGAACTGAGTATTTCAGCGAGACAGAGGAATACGAGCAGATGTTCCACTACATGAAATCGGAGATTCTCCTCAATGACTGCTTAGAAAGGGTGGAGCCAGCTAAACGCAAAGTAGTCGTCTTCTCCCTCAACGCGATGGTCCAACAAGGAGTCAAACAACAACAAGAGTAAGCGAACAGTTTGAATTGCACTGACTGGTCTCATATTGATAGATGGGTGCTTGTCGCCTTGAGTGAAGAAATATTTGCAATTTTCACTCAACCTACTGGGCACTTTGGTCATTTTCTAGAAATTCCTAAGGGACGGTACGGTGCTAGCTAAGTTTTTCCGTTATGTGGCACAGATTGTTGCAAATGGGACATCTCCTTTTATAGTCCCTGACAAAAGTAATCCCTAACAAGCTAGACAAGTATACAAAAATCTTCCGTGTCGGGCAAAATATGACGTGAACGTCGGGCATCCATATGGATCCGCTGCGGTACAACTGACTCCGCTCCAGAATATGTTCATTGGACACTATTGCTGTTCTCAGCCCATTGGGACTGATAAGCAGAGAGCCCTTGGTTTACGAGTACCGCCGCTCCTTCCCTCTAGACCTCAGCAAAATCCCATCTACCTGGCTCATAGTCGTTCCTCAGCAACTTCCAGGGGGAATGTCGTTCAAAGAGATGGCATCACATTTCGCTGTTCACTAACTCACCCGTGATATGCCGACAGAAGTTTACAAAATTAGTCCTACTGTAATTGAGTCAGAAGGTTGAAGCAAATGGCTGATTGGTACTTGATTCGTCTGAAAGAGTCAAACACTGAATTTCAGTTTGGCTTGCTGCAGCAAAGCGCTGTATACACAACCCACCACTGCCTCACTCTTCAGAGCTCAAGCCAAACGGTGCTCAGAGTTTTTCCCGTTTTTGCCGTAGTGCCCCTTGACCCTGAGGAAACTGGCCCATCCACTTGGTTTGAAGCTGCCTGCAGGCTGTCTCAGGCACGAGCACACGCACAGAACACTGCCCGTCAAAACGAAAGCAGCATTCAAGTCAGCAGAGGAGAGACGAGCTACGCTTTGGTCGACGGTCTTTCCAGCAGCATCTGCGGAGGCTCTTCTGCACCGTGCCCGCGTACGGGCGCAGTGCGCGTTCGGAATAAAGATACAGTCCTCAGTTCATTGCGGACCGGTGGGGCATGTCAGTGCGTTTGGCGCGGTGCCAAAGTCGTTCTGCACCAGTTGTTGAAGCGGGCAAGTGACATTACTGTATTATATCCTTCGTATTACTCGTTTTCTACCACTTTTTGTCGCATACGCGTTTCAACAAAAAGGCTGAGAACGGCTTCAACACTGTGATGCGGCACACCTACTGCGACACGCCCACCCCCGTCCCCGCAATGATGAGGACTATACCATTTTTGTTCAGGGGCTCAATAAAACCAGGGGCAAAGTCCGTGCAATTCTACACTCAGACGAGCAAAAGTTCTGGGCATAGTGTGAGGAATTTCGGAGAGTAGGAGAACAAGGGGAGCAATGTCTATTTAACAAATTATCCGTGGTCACATTGTTCCCAAGGATATCCACTGTAAATGTTAATGGTTAGTGCTCCTAGCTCACCCTCGCTTACCATCGGACTGCTGTTTGAACCGCGTGTTTCAGTTGGCATCAAGCACGAATGTCGTATCGTGATCTGGGAATGAAGTATCTGGAGATGACTGTGAGAGTCTTTCCAATCCGCAAAAAGTAGCGACAAACTTCAGGTTAGTACCTCCAGGTGATTCCTCTGCTAACCAGATCTCCAAAGTTGTCTCGATACATAAGAAACATTTAAGAAAGTGACTCGGCTAGATATGCATGTTCCTCACCTGAAGAGGAAGGACTCCCCATGAACCAATTGGAACTCCTGTAATAAAATGGATCAATCATGATTGTTCCATTTTTGAAGTGAGGAAGTACTGCGAAATGTGCTATTATACTCGCCTCTTCAAGATCGATTATCTCTGTTTGATGTAACTCAAATATCGAATGCCTATACAGCGAGGACTCACAAGCACTGTGCTAACGCATTGAAGCACCTCCATTTTTTACTTATTCATAAGCCAGGGGCTCACCAATAAGGAGGGGCAGTGTCGATGTGAGTCTCCGCCCACCTAGTTATCAGGGATTGTTCATTGCAAAGATGCTCACAGACTTAGGATTCA